TCCCTTCTCGATTAAGTTTCAACGTCCCTTCGTTGACTTATACACCTCAAAATTGGTTCACATTTGATTTTCTCTCAAAGCAGTTTATGCTTGGTAACAGAAACATAGTCAGTGAGCCGAGGGTGACACGGGTATTTTTATTACCACAGATGATCGCGCGTCGCCAGAATGAGACACGGGTAGTGAGATGGACCTCATTCGAGTGTGAGTATTTAAAGTGACGGAGTGAGAGAGAAGACAAAGAAGGTGAAGAAGGAGGGGAAGGAGGAGGAGGAGGAGGAGGAACAAACTATGTACAGGAAGGTAACGAATGCGACTTTTGCCCTTGTGGCGGCGTTCCTCTTCTTCTTCGCTATCGCTTATGCTGGCTGGGGCTGTGGGGGCAGCATTCTGGGTAGAGACTGTCTTCGAAATCCCGAATCCGAGGTGACGGGTGCTCTCCTCTTAACTGCCGCCCTAATTGTCCTTATTGCAGGCATCATTCTCATACTGCAGATATTTTTCCACTACTCCTGGAGTGCGATTGCAGTGTGTGTGTTGGCGGTTATCTCCGCCATTCTCTCCATTGCTGGCATCGCCTACTATGCGGACAGGAGCCAACGCTCGTCACCTTTTGTTGCAACCGCTGCGATGACACTCACGGTTGCTTTGTCTGTCATTCTCATTGTCGATCTGGTCACGAAGCACTGAAATACTGAAGGATTTCTTCATCCCAGTCCTGTCATATCACTTTTACTCCTTTTGGGCATTTTGCCATCCCCAAAGTTGACATGCCTTTTCGAAGTGGCCACATGTGTCCTCGTGTTGTTGTTTTAATTTGACACTCTGGGTAGGTCTCGCAATGACTTAAATGCACGTAGTCAGACATTTAGCACTTGCTTTTCCACTGCTTCATTTCACCTCCATTGCCTTGATTTTCCAGCCTTGTTTGCAATACGTTGAGGTAGTAAACATGGTTGGCCTTGATGTGACAACCCCTTAGTTGTCGTATCCAGTGAATGCATTTAAACTTGCCTTGCCTCCTTTTTGCCACAGCTCTCAGGTACTGGTTGCATTTGTTGCCAGCAAATGTGTGCAATTAGAAGGAGGATTTGATGACTGCAAAATGAGGTGTCTGGTTTCATGTCTGAAGGGGTTGGAAAATAAGGACGAAGGTCGCTGTGGTGAGACGTAATTGTCGGGTTGCTGTCAGGAGGACAGAGGAGTCGATATGCAAAAATAAATAGCGAGATAGACATCTGGAGAGGATTAAAGGTGCGTGGTTACGTGTGCACAAATGTGGATGGATGGATGGATGGATGGATGGATACTTGAGGGATGTATAAAAGGAAGGGTGTTGACGTGATATACGAACAGAAAAATAAACCGACTAAGCACAAATTTCGACTTACATCGTTGATTTGGTTATAACTTAAGTGGTCGATTTCGCTAACCAGGTTATACCATGGCATTAGGTGGCCTGGATCCTCTC